GAATTTGAAATCTTTAGCTAGTACATGCACAGGGAATATCCTTACAAAGTTTCAGCTCCTTAGCTCCTTTGGCTCCCGAGATCGCTTTTCCGCCAAAAAATTTGCTTATCTTTTTAAAGCGCCCGTACACGGCACCCAGGCGTCTGTGGGGGATGAAACTAAAACGGAAGGGTTGGTAAGGGCATGGCAATATTCCTGAAATTTCAGCCTCTTAGCTTTTCTGATTCTCGAGTTGAAAGTGCGTGACAAAAAGTGCGAACACACAGATACAGGCACACACACACACAGGCAGCCTCTTTCCAGTATGCGTTTTTCCAATTAGCATATATGCAAAAACGCATAAAAACTGACAGATCAGAGGAAGCTCACTACATTCACTCTTGGTTTGAAAAAACATTCTAAAACTTGCATCTTCAATTTACAAATTGTACAGTACCCTGGTGACTGCATTAGTGCCGCTGGCGAGGAACGAATGGGTGATCTGGATGAGCAGATGCTTGTTGTTCACCAGCGGATAGGCGCCACTCCGGGTACACGTTTCGAATACCCCGTTAAATTTGCGAAGATGTCGCGATCCAAAGAGCGCGCAGTAACGCTGCATCGTATGTGGGGCTGTGTCAATCGGAAATATGCATCTGAAACGGCTTATTAAACATACATATATATATGCATATGCATGTATGAGCATGAAAATATACATTTATATAATATACACATATAATTCAGTACTCTATATATATCTTGGTATTCTTGGTTATATATATAGGTTATATATATATACATATATATATAACATACATATATCGTGGCACTTACCAGAAAATGGCATAATTATGCGTTTTGGGACAAGCTGCTGCGCCGAGTGAAAATGGTAAATTGTACAAGGCCGTTATCATCTGCTGTACTACTAGTTGCCTAATAAAACTTGTGTAATTTCAGATTCATAGCCTGCTTTGTCCCGGAATTGTAATGCCACCTTCGTTCCGCAAACATTTGTAACCTGAGAATATTTATTGCCAGCCATAATGTTCAAAATCAGCGAAATTTCCGAGTCTGCAGCTCACTCCATTTTGGAATAGATAAAAGGTTGGAACGCGAATGTGAATGTGAGTGAATTTTAATTATATGGATTCGCCATGGGCTTTGTTTTCAGTAAGTACCCTAAGTTTTCCTATTTGAAATATGCCCCAGACAAAAGATCTGATCTCGATTTAATGCTCTTTTGCGCTACTAGTATTCAGAACACACAAAGAACCCAACTGTACTACTTCTCAAGTTGAAATGCATCGACGCTCCTCCCACAGAGAGGGCACAAACCCACTTTTGCTACTTCATCCAGTTTCTCCGAGCCACCGGCCAACTGTCTGACCACTTAGTATTATTGAAAAAGTTTATGACTACTAGTTGGTTTCCAACTGTTCTGAGAAAAAAAAACAGAGACGAGTCCCGTAATAATCAGAACGTAACAGGACTGAAACAGTTACTAGTGTTAAAAATTATTCTGAATCACGGGTTACCCCCATCTTTTCAAATAAACTAGACATCTGATGGAATAAGTCCAGCCAGTTTGTGCTTTAGTCTTAACTGGAAATTCTTTGGAATATAAAAGATTCACAATTAAAATACTCCACCTTAAGAAAGCCGAAATAACTGGTCAAAAAAATAGGGAAGAATATACCCAATCGGCACATAATTTGTTGGTTTCATTGTTTCTGGAAATGAGCTACATGAGAATTCTTGGCGTTGCCGATGGAGCAGTGTTTGCAGGGTATGGTACTTGAGATTGCCGCGACACGTACGATTAGTCTCGATCAGACAATGGACGTAATCAGTTATCACCTGCAATGAACGAGCAGTTTGAATTTGCAAGGAGCATTACACATCTTTTGGCTTATTTTTCTGCTTCCTTAAAACAGTATACGCATCAGGAGTTCCAGGAATTGGATATAAGTAGTGGCGAAAACTGAATATCATCTGTAAGCAACAACGAAGACGAATAATCTGTCGCGTTGTGCAATAAATAAATCGGTGTGGGCCCTCGCTCAAAAACAACCGTCCAGTTTATTTATATGAAAAACCGGGCAGTCATTACGCTCCTCCAGTGCCTCTCTTTGTACTTCCATTCCACGGCAAATCGGGCATTTGTTTGCATGAATTCGGACTAGCTTCACAGTAGCATAAAGCATATCAAACACTGTTGCATACAAGGCGCATCTGTTCAAACACCAGGATAATATGCACGCGCACATATATAAAGCCTTATGCTTTAACAAAATTATTTTACGGTGATTTCCAGGAGGAAGAACACCCGTAATCATCAGGATGAAATAACACTTCCGGTTACGAGCAGGTGAGTTGTTGAACTCGGGTGAGTTTCCAACATAAACCAGGTTGGAAAGCGCCAGGCGAGTCAGTGCGGTCATGCGTTTTTGCACCAGACTTGAAGTAATTAGGTTAACTGCATGAGTAGTTTTTTCTTCATACCTACCTTGTGCTCTCAATACCGTAAATCATCGTAAATTTTGTATAGAAAGAAATAAACAATTTCCGTTTGGCGGTCGTTTTTTGAAAATGACCCAGCCATTCGATGAGTAATTTTTCCCGTCAAAAATTTAAGTGCCCGTACACGAGAACCATGCACGCCTAGAGGCTGAATTTGATAACTTTAAGTCGCATATGGGGTGGGAACATCTGAAAATTTCAAACTCCCAGCTTCGCCGGTTCCCGATTAGCCATTTCCCCGCTAAAAAATTTCACGGATTCGGACGTGAGAACCACGCATGACTGGGGCTGAATTCGATAAGTTTAACGTCGTACTGGGCTGGGAACATTCCCTGAAAATTACAGCTTCCCAGCTTTGCTAGTTCCCGAGTTAGCCACTTTCCTGTCGAAAAATCCTGCAGGGCCGTAGGCGGGAACCACGCGCACCTGGGGGCTAAGTTTGAAACCTTTGAGTTATATTTGGATAGGGAACATAACCTCAAAATTTTAGCTTTCTATCTTTTTTCGTTGTCGAGATATCAATTTTCTCGCCAAAACTTTTCCCCTCTCATACGCGGGCCCAGACGTGCGTGAGGGGTGGTGCCGCGGTTCTGGGGTGGTACTTAGCCGGGGTACCAAACAGCAAAATCTCGACGCTGGAACTTGCTTGGTTGCCGAGTTGAGTTGAAATACCCGAGTTGAGTTGAAATTGCCGAGTTGAAATACCCGGACAGACGAACGTGCGCGCGCACACACGCGCACACACAAATATACACATACATACCATACACACACAGACAGGGTCGTCGCAATATGCGTTTTTTGCAGCAATGCAATGCGAACCTAGGCTGGAACGCACCAGGCGAGCCGGTGCGATCATGCGTTTTTGCACAAAACTTGAATTA